GTCGAGCTGTACCATGTTCGTTAACAGCTACTGCCTCGTAGACACCTACGTCTCTGTCTAACATTCTGATTGAAAATATAAAATCATTGATAGTGAAAATAAGCCTATTTGATAAGATATAAAATAGAAAAGAAAATTTCAAGATTAATAAAAAACCAGATTTCGAATTCAAGACAATAATCTGTGATTTTCTAAAATGCAAGCAAATTACAAAAAATGCATTGAGGATTTTGGAAGAGCATCGAGAATTTCTAAAAAATACCTAGAATTTGAAATCATCTTTATAAAATTTTCATGTCTATATTTTAGTGTTTGAAAAAAACCACAAGTTGAATCAATACTAAATTTGGTCGAATGCACCCAGAATGTATACAGCAAAGAAATTTTCACTTCAATGAATAAAAATGAAGAGATAGAACAATAAGTCAGGAGAAATTGACGTACTTGTTGATAAATAATGTTGCTTGGCCATTACGAGTATAACTGCAATCGTATCTTCCTCCCATTTCGATGGGTTCGTCGTTAAAGTAATAAGTGATTTTTGGTTTGGGATAGCCATACACGAACCAGAAAAGATTGACGTTGTGACCTTTAACACCATATTGAGCGTCGTATTCCTGGCGTAAGAATCTGAACAACAGAAACATTGAAAATTATTAAAAGATCAGTCAAGAGGAAGTATCCAATAATTACAAGATCAGTCAGTCCTAAATGAAAAAAATTCCCATTATTCACTTTGGTGATGAATTAATTTTTAAGGCTAGTTTTGGGTCATATGGTTGAGTTACTCTTATAAGCTGATAAATATAAAATGGCAAGAATGAGGACATAAGGGCTCTGTTCTGTGTTTTCCACGCCATGTAGGTATGCAACCTGACCACAATTCAATTACTCAAATGAAATCATTGAACAAAAACTAAAGACCTGGGCCATTTAACCAAAACCTCTATTATCTCAATGGACGATGAATAAGAAGGGGAACTGAGAAGAATACTTTAATTTATTAATAAAGGCAATATCTCATCCAACCATCAAGATAAATACAAATCCTCATTGAATTCTAATGCTAATAGTAAACACATACCTTGGAGCCTGAGCATAGTTATCATGAGGTGGTCGTTCTATATCGAAATCTTTGGGGAAATAGTGAGACGTATCTGGATGGAAATGCGAATTGGGTGGTAAATGAGTTCGGATTTTTGGTGGATCTGGTTCCAGTTTCTCTCTAAAAATGAATTATATTTTAATATCAGATAAGTACACCAAATCTAATCACACTGACTGTTAAACATACCTATATGTTATAGCAAATGGTGAAGGATCGCTAATACCGTAGTTATTTTCAACTCGAACACGGAATTTGTAGTCCACAAATGGTTTCAAATTGTGGATATCACAAATACAACTCCTTAAACCTGAAAGAAAAGAATATTTATGGGTCATACAAGTTTTTTCAGCAATTATTGCAATTCATTTCTCATTAGTATGTATAATTTGAATACATTGTACAGAAGTCACTCACCAGATCTAGCAGTAAACCATTTCCCATTGGGTTGCTCTTCCATTTCAACTAAGTAAGTGACTGGTTCACGAGGTCCAATCGGAATTGATGGTCTCCACGAGAGGGTCAGATAACGATCTGTCATACAACGAATGATAGGCTTGTCTGCCAAGGGAAGAGGTGCACCAGTAGCTCGAAAACGATCGTAGTCCTTGTAAAGTTCTCCAACTGGTCGCTTATATTTAGTCTCGAGGCCATCTAAAAACCAACCAAAAACATTTTACAGGTTGACAAAACTTATGGCTTAAATTTCACAAAAACTCACCGTCAAATACCAAGTTAGCTTCACAAAACGCTTCTCCATGCGGATTGAATGCTCTCAGTCTGTATCTGCCTCGATCAATATCTGGATTAGCGCTTGAAATTTTCAGTCTGTGGTAACACAGGGCGTTATAAATTAGCAAAAGCCTAGAAAGTTTATACAAGAAAATACGATTTGACAATTAGATACCTCACTAATCCAGTTCCTTCTTTTTCCATTTCAACTCTATTCGATGGATGTAATCGAACAGTATCGCAGAACCATTCGTACTCTGGTTCTGGATACCCACTGGCACAGGCTGTGAATTTTGCAGTCATACCAGCATAGATTTCGCAATCACCAATTTTCTTCATAAACTGAGGAGCTTCTTGTTTAGGTGCTGTGTCACTGCAAGTAATATTTCAACATAGTAGTGAATCGAAACTAAAAAGCCTGTAAATATAGTATAGGCTAAAATCTTACACTTTATCGACAACTTGTAGCTGAGCTTCACAAGTAGCAGTGCCATCTCGATTACTGGCTATACAGCTGTATGTGGCCTCGTCATCATGACCAACGCGTTGAACACAGTCAGACAGCAAACGTCACCATCACGTTTAATCTGATACTTATCAGAATTTGAGATAGGCATCCCATTACGATGCCACATAACCGATGGGAATGGTACACCAGTGACTCGACAATGGAACTTAGCATCGTGTTTTGGAAGCTAGAAATAATAAGAGGCAAGAACGAATGAAGCACAGCAAAAATCGTCATGAATTCCAAATAAATGAGGCATCTCAAGAAATTTACTGAGGTAACAAATCAGAAGTCTAACTTTCCTTTCAGAAAAATTGGACTCATATAATATAAAATGAGAATTGAACATAGTAAGGAGTCAAACAGTCATAAATTATCCACTTTTTTGGCTACCTATACTTCTGTGAGACAAATACCCAAATAGAGAAGAGAAAAGATCTGTC